GCTGAGATGGAGCCAGCATCGGGGGCGAGGCCAGGGCGGGGCGGAGGTGCTGAGAGAGGCCATCCAAGAACCCTTCTATGTGGCAGCTCCCGGTGGGGACCAGGGGCGGGAATCCGGTAAAGAGAGGCCCTAAAAAGCCTGTGCGTGATGGCGGCGGGGCTTGGGCGCCAGTGTTCCGCGATGCGGGAGGATGGGAGCGGCGGGGGCCCTGGGCGGGAGAAGGTTTAGTCCTTCTAAGAGGGGAGGTGGGGCTGTGCGCAGTCTTTGGGGCGTGACCCGTCCTAAGGGGCGGGGTCTCGAGCAGGATGGGCGGGGCCAGGGCGAGGACGGCCCCATTTGGAAAATAAGTTGGAGAAAAACCTGCATCTGATTGTGGGGATCCAATGGGATGACGCATGGAATAGCGCCCAGTTGGCGGCATGTGACGGATGTCGGCTGAGCGTCTTGTCCGTGCTGCGTTCTCCGCTGCGTGTGCTCCTCCAGACACGCGGGATACAGCGGTGAACAAAACAGCAAAGCAAACCCTTGTCCCCGCGGCCTTTACCTTTTTAGCAGGAAGTGTTGGTCTTATAATCAGCGCCATCGCCTTCTTCAGGGATGTCAGCCCCGGTGCAGTGATTCCGGCCCTGGGCTGAGCTCTGGGGCCTGGACCCCACCCGGGAGGGGCCTCAGTTTCCCTGAGTGTGTGCGGGCCATCCTGGCTGAGATAGGCCCTGCGACTGTGAGATTCCGAGTCCCCTCTGTCCCCACAGTGGTGTCAGACCTGTGTGCCACGGGAGACCATGACTGTGAGCAGGTGTGCATCAGCTCCCCCGGCTCCTACACCTGCGCCTGCCGCGAGGGCTTCACCCTGAACAGTGACGGCAAGACCTGCAATGGTCAGTGGGCAGCCCTGGGAGGGGGCTGAGGAAGGGACGGGTCTGGGCTGCTTCTCAGTCCATCTGATCCTTCCCACTCGTTGCTTCTGGAGCAATCCGCAAAGGCAATAGATTCCTTCTAGAGCAGCGGTTCTCAACCTGTGGGTCGCGATCCCTATGGGGGTCGAACGACCCTTTCACAGGGGTCGCCTAAGACCATCGGAAAACACACATATAATTACATATTGTTTTTGTGATTAATCACATGCTTTAATTATATTCAATTTGTAACCATGAAATTGGGGGTCACCACAACATGAGGAACTATATTAAAAGGCATTAGGAAGGTTGAGAACCACTGTTCTAGAGTTTGCTGTCACCGAAAATTCCCGCCTGATGTCCTCTTTCTGACACAATGGCTGGCGGTTTGGTGTGGTGGAAGGAGTTACACATCTTGAGTTCATCTCTTGGTGCTACTACCTCTGGGCCTTAGGATGTTCCAGCTGTAAACGCTGGCTTTATAGAGAGAGTTAGAGGACAAGATGGGATGTGTGTTGGGTGCCCGGCCAGCGGTCAGATGGACAACTGCCTTTAAGTTTCCTCTCCTCGCCTGTCCACACTCCCCAGTCTGCAGTGGCGGCGGAGGCAGTTCGGCCATTGACCTGGTCTTCCTCATCGATGGGTCCAAGAGTGTGCGGCCGGAGAATTTCGAGCTGGTGAAGAAGTTCATCAACCAGATCGTGGACACGCTGGACGTGTCAGACAAGCTGGCCCAGGTGGGGCTGGTGCAGTACTCGAGTTCCGTGCGCCAGGAGTTCCCGCTGGGCCGCTACCGCACCAAGAAGGACATCAAGGCAGCCGTGCGCAACATGTCCTACATGGAAAAGGGCACCATGACCGGGGCTGCCCTCAAGTACCTCATCGACAACTCCTTCACTGTGTCCAGTGGGGCCAGGCCTGGGGCCCAGAAGGTGGGCATCGTCTTCACCGATGGCCGGAGCCAGGACTACATCAATGATGCTGCCAAGAAGGCCAAGGACCTTGGTAGGTGCGCCCTCCTGGGCCCTGAACACCATGATGGCCAGGGGCACATGGCACAACCCACCGGTAATTTGTCTCAGTGTCTATTCTGATCAGAGTCCCAACGCCTGGTTCTATTTGAATGAGGAAGGACCGGTTCATCCACGTCTTTCTTATACTGGTGACAAAACTGAGGCCCCAGAAGAGGAAGTGGCTTGCTTCTGGTGGCCCTCTAGTGGGAGGGGGTTGGAACTATTCCAGTTGAATGTTCCCAAGAACATACCTTTGCTGAAGGCAGCCCACTTGGGGACAAACCCGAGCCTTGTTTTATTGCCTATTAAGTGAGGATAAGAATAACCACCAGAGGATGGTTGTGAGAGTTACATGAGGTTACAAAGCCCCCAGGGCAGGGAGTCAGCACAGGCCTGGCCTATAGTAGAATCTCAGTAAATGTTTATTTCCTCAATGTCTTTGTCCCAGGCACCGTGCCTGCACTTCCAGCAGCTGCCACCAGGAGGTGCCTGGAGTTGATTTCCTAGGCATCCTCCAAGAGGCTCAGCCTGGGCTGCCGGCCCCACCTCCACCCTTACTTGTCCTGTCCCTCTTGCAGGCTTTAAGATGTTTGCTGTGGGCGTGGGCAACGCCGTGGAGGACGAGCTGAGGGAGATCGCCTCGGAGCCCGTGGCAGAGCACTACTTCTACACGGCGGACTTCAAGACCATCAACCAGATCGGCATGAAGCTGCAGAAGAAGATCTGTGTGGGTGAGTGAGGCCTGGAGGGGAGGGGCAGGTGGGCTCTGGGGTGGGCATGGAGCCACCCTGGAACTGGGTGTGGGTGGGGAAAAGCAGGAGCTGGGGTGGCACCAAGAACTGGCAGAACCAGGAGGTGGGCTGGCCAGTCTAACTCTTCCTACCAGCAAACATATGTTTATCGAAGGCTCATCACATGAGTGACACTGTCCTCAGCGCTCTCCAGATATTAAATCGTTCAATCCTATTCGGGAGGAATATTTTTATCCCCACTTTACAGATAGGAAAACCAAGGCCAGAGGATAGAAAAATTGTTAATAACTGGAGGAGCCGGGTTTTGAATCCTGCCACCTCCCCTGACCCTGCCTGGTGACCTTGCCAGCTGTTCCCCAGGGGCAGAGTGTGGACCCCAGGGCCAGAAGTGCCTGCGCTTGCATCTTTGCTCTGACACTGACTACCTGTTGACCATGGACAAGCTGTTTCACTTCTCAGGTTCCTCATTTGTACGTGAGGTTCATGATTTTAAACACAAAGGATTGGGGTGAGGAATCACCATGATGACATAAAGGCCCCTGACAACAGTGTCCTGCACACAGTAGGTGCTCAGCCCAGTGGTGCTGTTATTGGAGTTCTTTATCAGGGCTCTGGGGAGTCAGGAAGACATGCAGGGGTCGCCCTCCATCACTCCTGGGGGCTCTGTCTCAGGAATTCTATGTATCTCTGCCCCCTCAGGTGTCCTGGGCCACACATTTTCCCAAGACTCCCTAGTCCTGGCCCTGGGCAGTGACTACCCCACCTCCCTGCCTGGTAACCCCTCACATCCCCTTGTCTTTCTCTACTTCCTGTTCATTCCAGAGGAAGATCCATGTGAATGTGAGTCCATTGTGAAGTTCCAGGCCAAAGTGGAGGGGCTGCTGCAGGCCTTGACCAGGAAACATATCCTTCCCAGAGGCTGATGCAGGGAAGGGAAGGGGCGGGGACAGGAGGCGGGGCAGGGGCCAGGCACCGTGGGGAGGGGAGCTGTGGTGGGGTTGGGGCGAGCTCCTCCTTGCCTGCTCCCTGCTGAAGGCAGGCTCAATTTTGGCCAGATGGGCTGACTCCAGCTTTGATACTGACCCTATCAGAAGCAGAGGGTCCTAGAGGGCAGCCAGAGAAACTGAGGCAGAGGTCAGGATCTAGAGACGGACACACATGGAGCCCTGGGCACACTCAGGAAAACACGGTGCCCGGGGCCACCCACTCCTCAGGCTCTGGGTGACGTGACCAACACCAGCTCCCACTCAGATGGGCTGGGCCTCGAGCAGCTCCCCTGGCTGGGTCAGGCCTAGGTGGGGGACCAGCAGACCTCAGCCTGTAGCTGGACATGCGGGGCTCATGGTTCTGGCTGTATTTGGAAAACACCATGCTGAGGTCAGTGGATGATAAATTCCGGGGGGTGGGAGAAAGTGCTGGAAGAGGGGGACTCTGCAGGAACAGGAAGTGGGGGTTCGCAGTTCGGGTCCCACGTGACTGCCCCAGGCTGGTCCCTGTGCACCGCTCCTTGACTCCGCCCACTGGAAGCTGTGAGTAAGCGCCTGGCCATCATGGAGAACAGGATCGTCTAAGGCCGCTTGTCCCTGCTGCGGCTTCTCCATCTCCCCGCCCCACTCGGCCCACAGAGTCCCGGCCTGTCCCCTAGAGCCCCGAGTGTAGTCTAGCTTTGTCACTTAGCGAGGGGGTGTGGGAGGGGCAGGCCCCTGGATGGCAGCAGGCCTCTCCCTCGGCCACCAGCCTTGGAGCCCTGCCAGGGGGCGTGTGTGTGAGTGGGAGTGCTGGGAGCGCAGGAGTTTGGGGCGTGTGTGTGCGTGTGCGCGCGTGTGTCTGGGAGCAATGCATGAGTGAGAACACAAGGGCCAGTGTAACTGGGACTGCGTTTGCATTTTTTTAACCAAAAGCTTAATATATTCCTGTTGTTAGTTACCCCTCCCTGACTGTGAGTGTGTGAATCTCTTCTGATGTCTCCATTCCTTTCTGAAAAACAATTAAATGTGATTTAACTTAAGGGCCGAGTGGGCCAGAGGCAGTGTGGTTATTTGGGGAGCAGGAGGAAGGGTGGCTGGTGATGGGGTGATGGCAGATGCTGACAGAGGTGGTAACTGATGACAGCGACTGCTCTAAAACCCACAACCCGCTCCCATTTGTCTTGCCTTTTCAGTGACACTTTCATTTCCATGATCTCATTTCATCCTCCCAGTAACTCTACCCAGGACAGACTCGAGTCACCCCATCTCACAGATGGGAAAGCTGAGTGTCTGAGGATGACATGGCTTGCTCAGCACTGGGTCTGTTGGAGAGACAGGACTTGCATCCAGGACTCCAGGACAGCAAAAGACGGGCACAGAGGGCAGTGGCTCCCGATCAAACTCCTTCGTTCATTCATTCACTCATTCATTCATTCATGCAGACAAAAACATTTACAGAGCATAGACCCCATGTCAGTCAGTGGGGAGATGTGGCCTAGGAAATAGTCCCTGCTCTTAAGGGACTTACCACTGGTGAGGGTGCTCTGCCACCCCCATATCGTTGGAGGAAGAGAGTGGGTTTGGGTTGTACATGAGGTGAGTGTGAGAGGTGACGGGAAGGGTCCCAGCCTGAGCCTGGCTGGCCCAGGTGCCCCTGTGGCGTCCTCTCTGTTGGCTCCTTGAGCTTCAGAAGCTTCACCCCGACCCTCAACACAGACGGCTGCACCCCCACCTCAGGGGCAGCACAAGGGAAAGACTGTTGAATCCGAACACCCCCCGGGGTCTGCCGGCCTCCCCCAGTCCCTCCTGGAGCAGCGTCCCTCTGACAATTCAACTCCTCGTCTCCCAGAGGGAGCTGAGCTGATTTTCTGAGCTCATTCTTGTTTAATGGAGCATTTTTAGTGCTGCTACCAGATTCACAGGAAGCTCAGAGCATCCTGGAGGCCTTCCTTAGAGGCAGTCAGGAGGCAGAATACCCCCAGCAACACCCTGGAGCCACGTCACACAGCCTCCACCTCACAGGGCCGCACAGCACCCCACCTCACGGCCGCACAGCACCCCACCTCACGGCCGCGCAGCACCCCAAC